AAATTCGGGATCTCTGCCGTGCTGAGAGTTGGCAGCCAAACCCCAGGCATTTAATTACACCGCTGCAGAGAGCACTCCGGCGGCGGGGTGTGTCCGCACAGGCAATTATTTTAGGAAAGCCGTGGAGGCTGCCTCTCCTCGCCACTTAAATCTTGCTTCTCTTTTGCAATTCAATATTGCAATTGTTGAGAGAACGTGGATTGTTTGCTTCAACGCACAGGCTAGGAAAGGTAGAAAGGAGATGTTAATTGTGTTGTACCAGGCAGCTTTGTCTCTGCACAAGTGAGAATTTTCAGGGGGTTTATCCAAATTGCTTGGGGATCAGAGCTGAGGGAACATGGATGGGTCAAGTACAAATGCAGCTGGGACTCACTTTCATTGTGTTTTGTTTGTTTGTGTTGCATTGTGTGTGTGTTTTTAAAGAACCGATTTGTTGTGAAAGGAAGCAAAGCCAAGGGGGAAGCTTTCTTGAGTCGCCCGTCTCGTCTTGGGTCACCTGCCTTGTCTTGGGTCGGACTCCCTCAGCAGCCGGGTGTTAGGAGAGGAGTTGAGCACAAACATTCACCCTCAGGTGATCCCAAGAGGAACCGGTGGGGGAAGTAAAGTGAGAAGCAAAGGAAGCCCGCGCAGGGTGGGCTAGCGAGCAGCATGCGCGTGGGCACCTGGAGCACAGATCCTAATGGGCTCCCTTGGGAACCCGTGCAGTGTGCACCTTAGTGTTCTCCTGCGAAGGAGGCGAGAGGGATGGAGTTTATCAGTAACTCCTAGGAGGTATGGATGGGGCCTGTGGGTGGGAGGGACTGCCTGCCTAGTGCAAAGGCAGGGTGGGCTCGGACCACCAGAGAAAGCCTTCAGCAGCGGGGGTCCTGGGCGGCTCAGCAGAGTCATGAGTGACGGCGCCACCTGAATCGTGTCTGTGTATGAGGAAGTCAGGGAAGGTGAGTGACTTCGTTCCTACACGGGGGAGACATGGGCTCGTAAAGAGGGGGTCCCCCCAACTTCAGAAGGGTGTGTACATAAGGTACAAAGAATGATTAATTACAGTAGTTTCAGATGGCGTTTATGAATGGGTTTTTTTCCTTGTAAATTAGGAGTCAAGCTCATCTGTACAATTATATCACTCGCTCACATTCCAATAGGCTTTAAAAAAAGACTTTATTGAGTGAGAGAGAAAAAGGTGGGCGTATAATGGCTGGAGACTGCGATTGTGCGTAACTCACAGCCTGGCTTATCTCTGCTACAACTCATGGGAACAGCCTCAGTTAACTGCTTGCAAATGATCAATTATTGTGGGGCTTTGTTTCTCCGTAAGACACTTCTGCTTTTATCAGAATTTCTTCGGTGCCTGTAGGAATGCATCCTGGATAGGACCAGAATCTCTCACTTCCCACTTCGATGTTCGCCACCCGTCATCTCTTGCCTGGCCTTGCCCTCACCTCTCCCCTGGTCTCTGGCCCGAGCCCCACTCCCCAACCCCCACAGACCGTTCCCCCCAAAGCAGCCAGGGGGCGCCTGTGAATTAGGTCATGTCCCTCCTCTGTTCAGAACCCTCCACAGCTCCCATCCAGCTCAGAGCAAACGCCAAATCCTCCCCCGTGTCTACAGGTCCTGAACATGCTGCCCTGTCTCCTCCCTTCCCCCATCTCCCTCCCCCCACCCACCACATACCCCTTTGCTCCCTCTGCTGCAGCCACACCAGCCTCTTCCCTGTTTCCTAAACATGCTACGGCATGCTCTTACCACAGGGCCTTTGCACCGTCTGTTCTCTCTGCCTGGAACAGCCTTCCCCAGATGGCCAGCCACATGATTCTCCCTCATATTCTGCTGGTCTTGACTCAAATGCATCTTCCCATGGAGGCTTTCCCAGGCCACCCTAAAACTGTAGCCCCTAACAACCTCCAGAGCCCGGGCCCCCTGTTGTTTCTTCCCCGCATTACTTTTCTCTATGGCGCTCCTTGCCCTCTAAACACTTGATGTTTACTCACTGGTTTTTGTCTGTCTCTCTAATGTGCACCCCTAGAAGAGCTTTTGTGTTTGTGCATTTTGTTCACTGCTGTGTTTTCAGTATCCAGAATAGAGCTTGACACACAGTAGGTCCTTTGCTTGTTGAACAAAGGAGACCGTTGCACCATAATAAAAACAAAAGGATTGGGACTTGTGACAAATTCAGGATGTTCTGGGGAAGCTCGAGAGGGCCTGATCTGGAGGCCTACCATGTGCCATCCAGGGGCAATCAGTGCTTATTTTTTAAATTTTATTTTTCAATTACTGTTTACATTTCAGTATCATTTTATATTAGTTTCAGGAGTATAGCATAGTGGTTAGACAATTACAATTTACAAAGTGATCCCCTCGAGAGTTCAAGTACAAACCTGGCATCATCCATGGTTCTTCCAATATTATTGACTATATTCTCTATGCTGTACTTTACATCCCTGTGACTATCTTTTAACTACCAATTTGTACTTCTTAATCCCTTCACCTTTTCCACCAGCATCCCTTCCCTCTGACAACCATTGGCTTATTCTCTGCATCTATGAGTCTGTTTCTATTTTGTTTGTTCATTTATTTTGTTCTTTAGATTCCACATGTGAGTGAACTCATATGGTATTTGCCTTTCTCTGCCTGACTTGTTTTGTTTAGCATAACACCATCTAGATTCATCAATGTCACAAATAGTAAGATTTCATTCTTTTTTATAGCCAAGTAATATTCCATTACATATATGTACCACATTTTCTTTAACCATTTGTCTACTGATGGGCACTTAGGTTGCTTCTATATCTTGGCTATTGCAAATAATGCTGCAATGAATATAGGGGTGCATATATCTTTTCAAATTAGTATTTTGGGTTTCTTCAATATATACCTAGAAGTGGAATTGTTGAGTTATAAGGTAGTTCCATTTCTGATTTTTTGATGAATCTCCATACTGTATTCCACAGTAGCTGCACCAGTCTGCATTCCCACCAACAGTGCACGAGGGTTCTTTTTTCTCCACATCCTCACCAACACTTGCCATTTGCTGATTTATTGATGGTAGCCATTCTGACAGGTGTGAGGTGATATCTCAATTTGGTTTTAATTTACTTTCTCTAATGATTAGTGATGTTGAACACCTTCTCGTGTCTGTGGGCCATCTGTGTATCCTCTTCGGAGAAGTGTCTCTATTTAGGTCCTCTGCCCATTTTTTTATTTTAATTCTCACCCAAGGAGATATTTATTGATTTTAGAGAGAGAGGTGGTGGGGGGGAGAGAGAGAAAGAAGAAGATGTGAGAGAGAAATATCGATTGGTTGCCTCCTGAACGCCCTGACCGTATGCGTACTTTTTTTGGTATATGGGACAATGCTCCAACCAACTAAGCCACCTGGCTAGGGCTGCTCATTTGTCTCTAAAATTTATTTTTAGAGAAAGGGGAAGGGAGGGAGAAACTGAGGGAGAGAAACATCATTTGGTTGCCTCTTGTATGTGCCCCATCTGCAGACCAGACCCACAACCCAGGCATGTGCCCTGACTGGGAATCAAACCAGCAACCTTTCACTTTGCAGGACGACACCCAACCCACTGAGCCACACTGGTTGGGGAGGGCTGCTCGCCTTTTAAATTGGATTGTGTGTGTGTGCGCGCGCTGAGTTGTATGAGTTCTTTGTAAATTTTGGATATTAACCCCTTCTTGAATATATCATTGTCAAATATCTTCTTTCATTCCGTAGGTAGTCATTTTGTTTTGTTGATGGTTTCCTTTGCTGTGCAGAAACTTTTTAGTTTGATATAGCCCCATTTATTTCTCTTTTTGTTTCCCTTGCCTGAGGTGATAAATCAGAAAAAATATTGCCAAGGGAAGTGTCCAAGTTTTGGCCGTGGGTGTGTTTTGAACAACGCACAAAGTTACTGGACTGCAGAGGCCCCTCCTCCAGTGCGCCCGGTTAGACGGCCCTGGTTCCGAGGGTCGCGGCTTGGGGAGCGTGGCCGTGATGGATCCCGGAGTTACCTGAGTGATTTAAACTAACTTGAAGTTTAATTAGGAGGAGTCTGAAGGTGATGGCTTCTATCCATGGGCCTGGAGGTCTCTGTGAGAACTGTCACCCTTTGGCCATTACCTTGCCTGGGCATCTGAGGAGCGGGGGCAGAAGTAGGGTAGGAACAACCATGGGGTATATCCAGAGTCTTTGTGTCCCGCTGAGCTGGGGAAGGAGAAAAAGAGGTCCAGGTTTGGGTGTCGGTATGAGCAGGCCTCTTTCTTTCTTTCTGTGGAAACATCCTCAAGGCCCACCAGTAGACGAATGGATCAAAACACTGCGGCACATTTACACAATGGAATACTATGCAGGAGAAAGAAATAAGTCCCACCTTCTGTGACTGCATGGATGGACCTGGAGAATACTGTGCTAAGTGAAATAAGCCCGTCTGTGGAAGACTATTACCATATGAAATCACTTATTACAAGAGGAATCTAATGACCAAAAAAACTAAAGAGCAAAATAGAACCAGAGGCGTAGAAACATGGAGCAGACTGACAGCAGCCAGAGGGAAGCGGGGAGGGGGACAATGGTGGACAGAAGGGGAGGGACCAGTCAGAGAACATGTATGAGTGACCCATGGACGTGTACAGCAGTGTGGGGACTGACTGTGGGAGCTGGGCCTGGGCTGGGCAGAGAAGGGCAAAGGGGGAAAAACTGGGACAACTGTAACAGAATAACAATTTTTTAAAAAGGCTTCTCTTTCATGGTGGTTAGAGAGGCAATGTTGTGTGTGTGCAAAAGTGTGTGAGAGAATAAAGTCCTGTCTTGTGGAAAGGCTTGAGTCCCACAACCCCTTGCTGTGTTCTTTAACCCCTTGTACCTCAGTCTTGCCATCTGTAAAATGGGGTTCCATGCACCAGACACTCAGCACATGGTCTGGCACATTCCAGGGTCTAGCAAAAGGCACCTGTTGCTTCTCTGGGTCCCCTTGCTTCCCCATTAGGTTCCTGCTCTCTAACCCTTGACCTCCCCACAGACCCTCTTCCAAAGCCCAGAGGAAGGCTGGCAGCTGTATACTTCGGCCCAGGCCCCCGATGGGAAGTGCATCTGCACGGCTGTGATCCCCGCGCAGAGCACCTGCTCCCGAGATGGCAGGAGTCGGGAGCTGCGCCAGCTGATGGAGAAGGTGAGAACCGTCCAGGTCCCTTGGGGAAGCCAGAGAACTCTCCCCTTCCCGTCCTGCCCCCAGCCCATCCTGGTCAGCCGGGGCCACATCCAGCCATGCAGGTTATTCAGAGCTGGCAGAGAGCCTGCCTCCCCTCCAGCTGGATATTTTAGTTAACAGCTACTAGGTGATTCTTGGGAGGAGAAGCTGAACGCTGTGTGGGAACCAGGAGGAAAGAGGCCCCCGCAGTGGCAGCATCTGCGTCTCCTGCGTGTATGAGCTCCGCCTGCCCCACTGTGCACACCCTGCTCAGCCCTTGAGTTTGCCAGGCTCACCTGCTAAAAAGGTGTTTTGTGTCCCTTGGGAAGGGTTCTCACCCTCTATCCCAAGAGGCTTGTATAAAGATTCCTTCCCCTTTGATTGTCGTCAATAGAAAATGGTCCCCATTCAATACATCTCTTTACAGTCTTGGTGCCCTTTCTAGACTGATTGGTGTCCCTTGCCACTGCCCAGCTGCCTGCCCATTAGACAGTTCTAATGTTAGTGTTGAAAGGGACTGCCTGTCTCCCACCACCACCCTATAAAGACGAAGCTGAGGCTCGGCAGAGAACGGAAGAGACCCTTCTCGGCACAGGACGCTCCCACCCATTAACTCCGCAGGATCCTGCCCTACTCTCAACAACAGAACTGCTTTCCCCATCAATTCGGGACATCCGTGTGTTGTCCCCTGATTGTTGACGATGGTTGTATAACGTTCTGTGGTGGCTGGGGTGGGTATCAGGCTGTTGGGTTTCTGAAAACTTCCAAGTGTCATGTGGAAAGTCTGTGTATTTCAACAAGCGCCCAGTGTTGCCTCTGAGTTCACCTTAGCCAGGTGGGTCTCCCCTCGGCCACGTGCAGCTCACTTTACCTGGTCTGGGTTAGGAGAGGCCAGGTCTAGGGAATTCTGGTTTAACTCATTTAGCCAAAAAGTATTTATTAAACATCTGCTTGGGACCAATGCTGGGCACTAGGGATTAGGCCCTGAAGGAGGCAGATGGATAGGACCGTTCCAGATAATAGTCATAGCTGGGAAGGTAACAGCCAGCTAAGGTGGTCAGAGAAGGCCGCTCCGGGGAGGCAATGCTGGAGCTGAGATCTGAAGGATGAGAAGGAGAGGCTGTGGGGAGACGGTGGGGACAGTGCTCCAGGTGGAAGGATCTGTGAGTACAAGGACCCTGAGGCGGGAAGTAACCTAGAATCTGCGAGAGTGAAGGGGGCTGGTGGCTGGAGTGGGTGAACGTGGAGGGGGGCAGGCGAGGGGGCAGAAACAGCCCGCAGGGTCTTCAGGGGAAGGAGGCGATCCAGTCTTCCTTTTGAAAAGCTCCCTCTGGCTGCTGCGTGGAGAGCTGTCTGTTGGGGGCTAGGGTGGGAGCAGGAGGGCCCGGGAGGAGAGGAGAGAGGTGAACCATGATGGTGGCCATTCCAGGAAGAGTTACTGGATGGAAGGGGCATGCCCTGGGGAGGCTGCTGGTAAGATCAGGGGAGGAGGTTGGCTGGGCGTTCGCCCAGTCTTGTCTGTGGCATCTCCAGGGAGGGGGTGGGGGCCGGGGTCTGGCTGTCTCTAACCCTCTCAGTTCCTAGGTCCAGAATGTCTCCCAGTCCATGGAGGTCCTTGAGTTGCGGACGTACCGTGACCTCCAGTATGTGCGCAGCATGGAGACCCTCATGCGGAGCCTGGATGCACGCCTGCGGGCAGCTGATGGGTCCCTCTCAGCCAAGAGCTTCCAGGTGGGTCCTTCTGGTTCACGTCAGAGGTCAGAGGAAGAATTAGAAATAGTGCCCATTTTTCTGAGAGTGGAATCATACCTGGGAAGACTGAGGGTTGGCTGGGACCCAGGGTCCAGTATGGGCCAAATGTCAAAGGGATGAGGTTATAGGTCAAATGCTGGGGTCCCATCTGGGTCAAATGTCAGGAGTAGGGATAAACAAGAGTTCCATCTTGGTGGGCAGGAACTGAAGGACAGGATGACGGAACTGTTGCCCCTGAGCTCAGTCCTGGAGCAGTATAAGGCGGACACGCGGACCATTGTGCGCCTGCGGGAGGAGGTGAGGAATCTGTCCAGCAGCCTTGCAGCCATCCAGGAGGAGATGGGTGCCTACGGGTATGAGGACCTACAGCAGCGGGTGATGGCTCTGGAGGCCCGGCTCCACGCCTGTGCCCAGAAGCTGGGTATGCCTTGTCCCTTGACCTTGACCCCTGCCCTCCATGCCCAACCCCAATACACAGAAGCTAGAGTTTTGACCTCTAACTTCTAAACTTTGACCCTTAACCTCCCTTCCCAAGGCCAAAAGTAGACCCCAAAGCTGAAAATGGCTCTGACCCTTGACTTTTAGCCCCTTATCTCCAACTTAATTCCATCTTGGAACCAGATCTCTGGATCCACTCTCACTACTGGTCCCAATTCTCCCCAGTCCCACCTCATCCTTGCCCGGTTGTCTTAGGGCTCTTTCTACCTGCCCGCCCCCCACTCCCTTATTCCCCCATTCCTGCCTCCTAGGCTGTGGGAAGCTGACTGGGGTCAGTAACCCCATCACCATTCGAGCCATGGGTTCCCGCTTTGGCTCCTGGATGACGGACACGATGGCCCCCAGTGCGGATAGCCGGGTGAGTGACTGCCCATCCCACGGGTCATAGCCTGGGAGGGACATAGCCTGTGGCTGCCCATAGGTGCCTGGTGACTTCACACCAATAATTCCCTTGTAGCCCAAAAGTGTTTTGGGATATCCAGCACCCTTGGACCTCCTCTTGAGTGTCTAGTGCCTACCAAGTGATCTAAGGCCTTCCGGCCCTATGAATCCCCAAGTCTGTTGACCTCCAATGACTGTATAGAGACTAATGTTTACTAGTACTACTGACTAACTTCCAATGACCACTGACCTTTAAGTAACCACCTAGTAACCAGTGCCTTCACAGGACTAGGGACCACCCTGCCTTCCCACATCCAGTACCACTCACTGCCTTCCAGTGGCCTCCATGTACACAATCACCCATCGCCTCTGACCCACAGGAACCGTCCATTGACTGCCCTGTGACGTACTAGGGACTGATATCCTCGCCATGAGCATTGGTCTCCCAAGGATTACGGTGGTTGAACTGTGTGGTTAAAAGCTAGGGTTTTGGAATCAGACTTGGATTTGTGTCTGTTTCACCAACTCTTAGCTGTCTAAGGTTCCTTAATGTCTCAGATACTCAATTTCCTTATCTTCAGAAAAGTAGTGATGATGTTGGCATTAAAATTTTTAGGATGCATAGCCCAATAACCAGCCCTAGTAAAGGCACTAGGGCTAATGAACATACTAATAAATATGCTGACGAGTGATGATGGAGATGCTGATTAAAGGCTTGGTCATCTCATGGTTGCTGGGGTTACTTACCATGGGCAATGGATTCAAGTGACCGCTCATCATTGAATAGCTGCCCAGTGACCACTAACTATCCAATAGCCAATGACCAGTGAATTCCTGGGTCTAGTGTCTGAGTTCCCAGGCACTGCAATTCCCCTGATCTTTTGGGATCGAGCACCATCCATTTAGTGTGTGTTTAAATGGCACTCCCTGATCCAATGATCCTAGTCACTGGGACTATGATAGGTCATGAATGGTCACCAGTCATCCCATGACTGACTAATGACTACTTAGTGACCATTGATCCCTAATGACCATGGTTAGTTCCTGAGTCGTTGCTGGAGACTTTGGGTCATTGGCAGTAGTCCCTCAGTGACCAGTGGCTCTCTTATAGGTCTGGTACATGGATGGTTATTACAAGGGCCGGCGCGTCTTGGAGTTCCGCACTCTGGGAGACTTCATCAAAGGCCAGAACTTTATCCAGCACCTGCTGCCCCAGCCATGGGCAGGCACAGGCCATGTGGTGTACAATGGCTCCCTGTTCTACAACAAGTACCAGAGCAACGTGGTAGTCAAGTACCACTTCCGCTCACGCTCCGTGCTGGTGCAGAGGAGCCTTCCTGGGGCCGGTTACAACAATACCTTCCCCTACTCTTGGGGTGGCTTCTCCGACATGGACTTCATGGTGGATGAGAGCGGGCTCTGGGCCGTGTACACCACCAACCAGAACGCAGGCAACATTGTGGTCAGCCGGCTGGACCCGCACACCCTTGAGGTCATGCGGTCCTGGGACACCGGCTACCCCAAGCGCAGTGCTGGTGAGGCCTTCATGATCTGTGGCGTGCTCTATGTGACCAACTCCCACCTGGCTGGGGCCAAGGTCTATTTTGCTTACTTTACCAACACGTCCAGCTACGAGTACACGGACGTGCCCTTCCACAATCAGTACTCCCACATCTCCATGCTGGATTACAACCCCCGGGAGCGGGCCCTCTACACCTGGAACAACGGCCACCAGGTGCTCTACAACGTCACCCTCTTCCACGTCATCAGCACTGCTGGGGACCCCTAGAAGGCCATCAAAGGTCCTTTCTACTCTGCCTGTGTCCCTTCAAGCTGGTCTGTCTGTCGTGCCCTGCCTCCCCGCTGGTCCTTTTTTTTCTGTCCCTGCCTTTTGCACAGCTTTCCTTCTCTGCCTCTGTATTTCTATTGGTGCATTTTCTCAATGTTGTCTCTTCTCCCTTATTGATCTGATTTTGATACTCCAGTTGTCATTCTGCCTTTTTATTGATGTCACTGTCTCTTTCTTTTTATTGATCTGACTCTCCAGATCATTCCCTGTCCCTGCCTGTCTTTCTCATCCCTCCTTCCCCTCCCTCTTTGCTGCCCACCCATTCCCTTCTCCCTCTCTCCGAACCCTCCCTCCTCTTGCCCTCCGAGGAGTTGAGTGCATGGATCTGTTTATTTTTATTTTTATTTGTATCTTTTCTTTCTGGGTTGCCGGAATAAACGGGACCTTTGACATTTGATGCTTCTGTTGCTCTGTGTGTCTGGAAGGGGCAGAGGAGGCTTGGAGGGTAAGTCCATGCCTGGAGACCCATGCCTGCCCTGCTGGACCCCTGTCCCATGCGGCAAGCTTTGTGAACCAGGGCGGGCAAGCCCAGCCTGCGGGGCCGCCAGAGCGAGCCCTTTGGGGAAATAGGCAAAGTTGTTTCAATCGAAAACAATTTGTTCAAAAGCAGTTTGATCCAAACACCCGAGAGTTCTGTCACAACAACGAAAACTGGCCTCAAATGAATATTCTTTGTCACTCATTTTTTTCACTCATTGCTCACTCCGGTGCATTGCTGAGCCCTCTGGCAACTTTTTAAATGGGGTTTTTAACAATATGGCTGCTTTTGAGAATTTGGGTATGAGTGGGTAGGACACAGTATAATTTTTCCCTTTTCTTCTCTTTTTGCTTTGTAATTTCAAAATCATTTTCAGTCGCACCTATTATGGTTAATAACAAAAGGCTAGAAACAGCCTGAAGGTGCACTGCGTGCCTTCAGTTGAACACACCCACACCCTGGAACCCATTTACCTGGAAGGGTAGAGGTGGGCCCGACAGAGGGACCCCAGCTCTTGGAGGGGAAGGACGGGCAAAGCTAGGAGGTATCAGAGACAGGAAGGGGCATGAGAGGGAGTCGGGTGGAGACTGAAGCAAACTGAGGCCAGATCCTCAGGAGCCTTTGGTCATAAGACTAAGGGGGGTGGCTGTGCGGTCACCAAAGGTCAAGGGCAGATGAAGACTATTTTAGCCAGAGCCCTAGTAGCCTGGGCGAGACAGAGGGCAAGGAGAGTGGGGAGAGGGACCTCTGGGGCTGCTGGTTGGGAACAAAGGTAGCACTGTCCATCACAACACGTGGTCCCCACCAAATCCTGAGCAGAACCGAGGCGCAGAGCCTCACTGGCCCAGACCCCACCCCCACCCCGACTCCGCAGAGGCTGTGAAACCCGCTCTCTGGGAAGCAACCCCGCCCCCAGCCATCCCCTGCCCCCAGCTCCCCAGCTCTAATTAACGGCCTCCCTGATTAAGTCATCTCCGGGAACATGGGGGCCACCCTGTGAAGGAAACCGATGAATAATACATGTGACTGACTTATGCGCTCACTTAAAACCAATTTTTAAAGAAATCTTCAAGAAAAGCAATTAATTTCCATTTAAATTAACAAGCTTGACATAGCAAAAATAATCGATTCCTGGGTAAACACGTTGAGAGGCACTTTGCTCTGTATCTGCTTAAACGGAAAGGCTCAGGGCTGGGACACTTACTAAGAACGTCCGCACACCTGCCCTCTGACTGTATTTATGTGGAGGCAAACCCCCAAGGTGAGCATGGGGGCAAGGCAGGACATTGTCCTTTGATAACAGATTTTCCCGAGGTAAGGCGGGGCACTGAGAGCTGCTGAGTTCAACAGTCCTTGTCTAAAATACACACAGACTTGGAGACTCACACGAGAAAAGGACAGGCGTGGGTGTGTCTGCTATGTCCGCACGCCAGTCCTTAAATGGATGCCACAGGCACTTGGCATCATAACCACCTCCTCTCACAAGGTGGGCCTGGCGCTCGCTCCTTGTACTGGATATACTTTTATGAATATACAGTTGACCCTTGAACAATATGGGTTTGAATTGTGTGGGTCCACTTATATGCCAAATTTTTTTCAATACAATAAATGTGTTTTATGATTTTTAACATTTTTTCTCTCTAGCTTACTCTAAGAATTCAGTATATAATACATGTAACATATAAAATGTATATTAACTGTTTATTATCCATAATATGGCTTTTGGTTAACTGTAACCTGTAAGTAGTTAAGTTTTGGGGGAGTCTCAGGTTATATGTGGATTTTTGACTTTGTGAGGGTCAATGCCACTAACACCCACATTGCTCAAGGGGCAACTGTATATCCAACCAAGGAAAGACAGGACTAACTTGCCCACACCCCTTACCAGGATGACCTGACAGCATGTTTTAGGCCACCCTCTGCTAACTCTGCCTTCCCCTCATGGATGTGCACCTGGTCGCCCTGGGAAAGCGCTGTGGCCTATCCCGCAGCCATGCCAGCGCTCCCTGAGTTGAAGGGACCTGAACTGGCCCTGCCCTGTGGCCACGGGAGCCTGGGCTGGCGCACAGGGAAGAGGAGTGGGACGGAGTTTGGCTGGGAGGGAAGACTACAGGGTTGCCACCATCTTGAAGGCCTGGCATTTATGGCCCCCCTCCAGGCAGGAGTGGGTGAGAGGGTGTGGAGCAAGTGAGGAAAGGCATAGCTACTGAATCATGAATCAGCCTGACACTGAGTGGGCTCTGGGGGCATGTTTATCTAACAGCGAGGTTTTGTGTTCGGGTTTTGGCTGCTGCACAGCTGGACAAAGGAAGGGGCGGGGGTTCGCAGAGGCAGAGGAATCACACCCAGACGGGGCTGGGGGGCGGGGAGGGAACGCCCAGTGTCGCACTGGACACATACCTGGAGACAGCCAGAGTTCCACAGCCGTATGCACACGTGGGAGCAAGAGCGAGACAGAGACACACACAGATGCCCAAAGTGACAGGAGTACCACAAAGACCATTTCCCTGCCAGACACAATACTCCTCTCTGGCAGCATCTAGCCACCTGGGAGCCCAGGGATACCTTCTCTGGGTCTTTGGTGCTTGGAGTGAGGCACAGGTCCATTCTTCAGAGGCCCCTTCACCTTGAAGCAGAACTCCGCAAACGCTCCTGCCCGGCCAAGTACTCATTTCTGATACCTCGCAGAGGCGCTACTGGGCCAGGCAGGGTGTGACTGCTCCCCCAACCCCAGGGCTGTTGATGCAAACAGTGGGGCCACTTACTGCCTGCCTTGTCCCCGCAGGCGGTGGAGATTCTGCCAGGAGGTGCAGGCTACAAACAGCTCTCCTCAGCCCGCCAGAGCCGGAATTCATTAAACCTTCCTAATGACAAATGCTCCAGCAGGCGGCAGGCAGAGTGATTGCTCCAGAAACCTGCCAGATTGGAGTCCACCCAGGTGACTGAGACTCAGGCCATTATATTAGATTCAGCCCTGGGAGCCTCCCTTGGGATCAAGCCAGCAAGGCTTTAATTTGCTCAGGTCCCCAAGCTCTGGCAGCCTGCCATCCCCACACTGCAGCTGATGCCCATGAAGAGGGGGTGGCCAGAGTGGGCATAGCCACCCAACAAACCCATAAAGCCCCAGAATGAATGCTGGGCCCCCAGCCCACGCGCTGGCACAGGGGCAGCTGCGAGGGGATGGATGGCAGGCCGGCCACGCCCGCAGCGCCCGCCTCCCATCTGCCACAGGATTCCCCTCTGCTCCAAGACAGCCCCTCCCCCGGTGCTCCAGCACAGGCCCTCCTGGCATCTGCAGAAGCGGCAGGACCCAGGCACCACCTGCCGGAAGAGCTTGTGGTGAGACAGAGGCAGGCAGCAGGGTGTGGGGCATGGTTCGTTCTAACTGGGTGGTCCACGTGTGGAGAGGTGGGGGGCGTGCAGAGAGCACCAAGCGCAGAGGGGCTTTGATCGGGCTCTCCAAGGGCCCCCCCGCAGATCTCCAGCTCCATGTGACCCGCTGAGTCCAGAGCTGTGGGGTCAAGGCAGGGAATCTTTGCATTACAGAACACCCAGGTTTGAGGACGGCTGGTGCTGAATGGCGCCCCACTTCCCTGGAGACTGGCTGCTGGGATGAGCTCCTGGAGGACATCCTCAGGCCCGGATGTGGAGAGGCTTCTTAAGGAGGAAGTGCAGCCTGGACACGGGGTGGCGGGAAGGGGCCTGCTCCCTGGACAGTGCCCCCATTACCTCAGCAGGGAGGAAATGAGACACGGGACGGCAGAGCAGTGGTTCCAGGTTTAATGGAGGGCGCGGAAGGGGCTGCACCGCTGCTCAGAGGGCCCCAGGCAGTAGCAGCCCAAGCCCCACGCAGAGCATTTGCTTGGTGCAATTTAATAGAGGAACATGGCATAACCAGAAACAAAGTGAGGCCCTCCTACCCCTGTCCTGGACCTGGGGGGACAAGGGACAGCTCAGCTGACCAGGCCTCACCCCCTGGGTCTGGGGGCTCTGGGAGCCTCCCCACTCTGCTGCCCTTCCGAAGTCAATTCCTAAAGAGGAGGGAACCTGGCAGGGAGAGCCCCAGCATGGGGCAGACAGGGAGCCCCTAATGGTGCAGAGCCCCTCTCCTAGCCATTTTGGGAACAATAAATACTGTGTGACATCAGCAGGGAGGGGCGCCCATGCTTGGCTGGCGGCAGTAAGCAGGGTCTGCGGGCCCAGCCACCCCGCCCCGCCCCACCCCACAGGCCAGGCCTGGGCCACCTGCTCCCTCACTCCGTGCGCAGGATGATGTGGATGCCGGAATCCGTGAACACGGGCCCGCTCATCTCCCCCGTCCGAAGTGCAAAGGAGGCGTCTTCAAATGGCTTTTGCATCTGACCTGGGGAAGCGTAGGGGATGGTGTGTTGGGGTCAAGACCTGGCAGGAGCTAGGACCAGGCAGGGCAGCCAGATGGGGCTCCCACCTGCGCCCAGCCTAGCACTCATCTGTCTCTAGGTTTCTGGCCCTGTTACAG